CTTGACAGATTCGTTTGAACCATATCTTTCACTGAAAGATATGTCAGCACTATAACTGTGATATACACCCTATGTGAACAATTTGTGTTGTTCACAATATACTTGGGAAACTAGTTCCATGAATGATCTGAAGTATTTTGCGTAAAAGCTGTTGAGTTGAGTATGTTGTGTTCTCGCATGGAAGATACGACTCGTATCATACGAGAGAGTTTGAGTTGACTTCCACTTGCCGACACAAGAATATCCTCAGCAATACCACATCACAGGGAATTCACATGGAATATAAAAATGGAGAATACTTGAATATATTAAATAACATCATCTCATGAATACATAGATTACATTATGTCTATTGCACTCAATAGTTTAATACGCTTCTCGCCCCTATCCGAAAACTGTGCTAGTAGGATAACATATTCCCTCTCTTCAATTCTCAAGATGTAGAAGGTTCCTTTAAAGTTGCCAACAGGGCTGGTCAATAGATAACCATCAACCTCCAGTTCTACATGGTGTGTCGAACCATGTGATCTTTCTCTAGCCAAGAGGAAGACCTTCTTATCTCCTTCACGTGGGTCTCTCAGTAGAACTTTAATTGTTTTATCAGTACCACCATATAACGATACATTCCGAACCGACTTGTCTCCAGGCAAAAGTGGTTGAACTCGAGTGAGATCAAGGCTTAGTTCAGATGGTGGATTTTCGTCAACTAGAACGACCTTCAATAAATCCCTCTCTCTATTCTACGTGAGCGTGTGGGGTCCGGTGGGCCAAAGGTGTTCACGATAAGTAAAACTGTTCTTAAGGGTAAAGGTGCTGGGTCGGGTTGTATGCATAAAACTGCCTTTGACCCTTTGAACAGCGTGAGATTCTATAGAGGGACGCTCTTGAATCATAGACTCGAAGCCATAGAGGAGGTGCATCTGAATGAGATACAAATTAGGCTATAAACATGGTGACTTTCGAAATCACCTGTCGACCGAGTTCAGTTGTTTTACTCCAACACAGGATCTCGTCCTCAAATTGTCTCTTGACGAAACCGCCCTCTTCAGGGTTTTGCTCGCACATTAAGTACTCGAAAAGAGTGTTCTTGTTGGCCTCGACAATGAGCGGTAGAACACTGGTGACCGATACGAAGGTGTTGAAGAATTTCATTGACTCGAATGAAGAGATATTATGGGAGCTGAATGAACGACGACACGTGAAATTCCTTCACTTCACATAGACCTCACGTCATTCACTGTCAGTTTGAAACTGAGCTAAGGTTTTACACTTGCGGCATCGATTGAGGTACAAGTACCATACAAAAAGACATACGTTCCCTTCAGCAGTTCATTTACTTCTCTTACCGACTTTACGATTCCCTGTAAGAATACCCAACCGTTTCAAAAGTAATCGCCACTGTGCGACCAAACATAATTATGACAACTTCAGAAGCTATATTGAGTGAGACGATACATTCTCGTGGTTGAGCATCCCGAACTTTGACAGAAATCTACTTTATGAACGTTGAAGAGAGTATGAAACTTGTTGCTCTGCACAACCTCAACTGAATCTTTCGCAGTCGACCTAAAGATACTCGTACTATAACCGAATAATTGCTCAATTACCTGAGAGGAGGAACTCTCGAATCAGCTTCTTGAATTTGATAGTTCGACGACTCGCCTTAGGAAAACGTTATAACTTTATTGTCAAACTCACAAGGGTGTGAGAGAATGATATACGACTAACCTCGACCAGATAGGAAGTTGTAAATTATACAAATTCCGAGTGGAACGTTTCCCCATATAGAAAATACAATGATAGATAACGGCTGCGGCAGACATACAAAGTTCTACTCAACCAACATCGCTGAGAACCTACCGAATTGATGCTTAATTAGCTCCGGAACGTAGCAACCGAGCGAAGACCATATTACGAAGTTATATAATAACAAAATATAGACGCGCTAAGATACTGTACTAGGGAAAGAGTAAGGTCTTGGGTAGATAAAGTGTCAGTCTGTCAAAGGAAAATTCAAATTGTTGCCCACACGATTTTAGGGCGAGCGAGATAGAAGTGATTCATTAAAGCGCACGCCATCGCGATCGATTTGTTGAGTTTCGCG